GCTAAACTAAGTTATTTAAAGAATACTTGTGTCATCTTCTTTATATATGTTCAATTTAAAGAATACTTACCTAATTAAATAATATTGCACAAAATAAACCGAATAAAATACATATTTATTTGGCTATTTGTTTTAATTTATAAGAAACAAAGAGATTTACATGAGTTAATAGAAATAAAATTAGGAATATTATTAAAAGATTTTGCCATGTCATAATAAAAGAGATGCCATGTAATCATTTATTTGGAAAAGTGATTGTGGAATTGACATATACGCAAATTCCATAAAATCACTTCCAAATAATTTATAAAGGATAACAGGAAGGAGAGGTTTCCCTTCTCTTGTGGAATGGGTCCTGATAGCTTGTTTCGGGACACATCCAGCGACTCCAGAGCTGTGAGGTTTCCCATAGATGAAGGGATGCGGCCAATGAAACCGTTGTTCGAGAGGTTGAGCACATTAAGCTCTTGCAATAGACCGATGCTCCCTGGAATCTCTCCTTCAAATATGTTTCCTGAAAAGTCGATTGCTCTTGGATACGTCCTAACTCCATCTCTACACCTTTACTCATTACAACCACTGAATAATAGTAGTAATAGTCTGCTGTCATGTACTTTTCGTATGGCCGAACTTCATCTGTCCCCAGTGATAACATAGCACTCCACTTCACAAAGTAGTCTGATTGCCCCATTGAAGTGATTGTTGGAAATATCAATAATTTTCATCTCAGGGAATGACGCTTGACATATCGGTCCATAAAATGCATTAGAACGCAAGACCATAACTTGCAGCTTGTGAAAATAACTCAACCAGCACGGAAAGGTGTCGCTGATTTTGTTGCTTTCCAAACTAAGAACTTCAAGACTTGAGAAACGAATCAAAGTTGTTGGAAGCTTCCCGACCAGTTGGTTATGACCAACATCAAGCCACTTGAGCCTTTCAAATAAAGTATTTGGAAGAGCTCCACCAAGACGATTCTGTCGAAGGATAAGAACCGAAAGAGTACCCAGATAACGAGGGATTGACTTAAGTTGCTCTGAGTTTTCATACCCGGTGAACACATTGTTGGAAACTCAGGAATTCCAGATTTGGTTGCATCCACATTAGTAATAGTCTGCTGTCATGTACTTTTCGTATGACCGAACTTCATCAGTGATGACATAGCACTCCACTTCACAAAGTAGTCTGATGCCAAAGCTCCATTGAAGTAATGATTTTCAGAGCAAGAAACGTCAATGATTTTCAGAATGCATTGTTGGAAACGTCAATGATTTTAAGAGCAGAAAACGTCAATGATTTCTAATGTTCAATTATGTTGTTTTAAGTATGACTTAGTATGTTTTAGACTAATCTTTCTCGTGTGTTGTGTACATCCATGGTGTGTACTAATATTGAATCGTAGTTTCTTAAATAATCGTATCATATTTTATAAAAAAAATTCACTTTTGTTGCTTATGTTTTGCTTATTTTTATTTGTTCTTGGCTCGGGGGTATATATGCAACTACAAGTTGTTGGATAATTGTGTATAAACCGCAAATAACATGAATTCTTGTGAAATCAAATTTTACTAGTTATGATTCTTCATTAAAGTTAAAAATACTTTAGTGTTGCATTGTGTTTTCATCAACTCTTGTGAAATCCGAAACTAGACGCAAGGTATAATAAGATAAAGAGTGGATGGATGTAGAAGACAAAAACAAATCTTTTCAAACTTCTTCCACATCTGTTTAAGGTCGCGATATTACAAGGATTGTTCAACATAACCACAATTTTTGCTCAATGTGTTTCTTCGCGGTCACTTTTTTTTTTTAAAAAAGAACAATTTACATTTTGTTAAAGTAAATTTATTCACATACTCTCATCCTCTCAAAGCTAAAATGTAACTTTATTGGGTACCACTTAAATTATGAAAGAGCATAAATGGAAGTTGTGATGCTAACATGCGTAGTAGTCTTTAACTAATCTGAATGTTGGATACATGCGCCTATCATGCGGATTACCAATCTGCTTGACACTCACTTTAAGAATAGAAGTCTTTGTGATTTTTTGTAGAATTCAACAAAATAGATTTTGACTATTAAATTAAATTTAAAATTTCTCTCATACTTTACTCAATAAAATAAGAAATTTGGATGGAAGAATTTTGCAGTTTTGTGTTTATAAAAAAGCTGCATCGAAATGTGTTTAAAAAGTTATATGTATGGATCCAAACGGTATTAGTCAACCGTTAGTTTTGCTGAGTAGGACGCTACGGTGTCAATATCGTAAAAACTTTGAGTTAGTATATAAATATTATTATTCGTGGCATGGTAGCTAATGCTGTCACAGCTCAACTGGTTACGCTGCATGTCAAGGTGAATGGAAGGGGTCGGCTCGATTCCCCTCGCATGCCACTGTATCCAGTTCGGCTGTTAAAGTTTTCACTCAAATATTTTACTGCATTGACGACACCATGACATTCTTCTCAGCAGAAACTAACCGTTTGGGTCGGTTCCAATTTGATTTTGGCTAATATGCTATTGCTAACAGTTTGTGTAGGTTATTTGAAATAATATTTTCTTCAGGTTGAAATTGGTGTGTAAAAGTGCACCATGAATTTTGTTCTTGTTGAAAGCTTTTTTCCCCAACCACTTTTACTAGTATGATTCTTCATACAAAAATAAATACTTAGTGTCAGCTCTTATGAAATCCAAAACTGAAGCAAAGTGTTTAATAGTATGATAAAGAGAGTACATGTAGTAGAGAACACACAAAAAAAACAATTTTTTTCAAACTCCTTTCTTGTCACTGGTTCGATGTTTCTGTGAATCTTATATTTCATCTTCCTCGAAAGGGTCTCTTTCAGGATAATCACCAACCTGCAAGCCGAATATCAAGTTTATGAGTAGCAGAAAATAATTTGTCTATCCAACCAACTACTTTACTGAGGTTAAGTGATAAAAACATTTAGAACTCACCCAAAACTTAGCATAAATTCCCTTAAGCCTATAAGGGCATTAGCTAGTCATATAGCTAACAAACAAATATGGGACTCAGACTCTTAATATTAACATCTTGGAAAAACCTTGCATTGACATCTTTCTAACAAATAACTTATTCTATTATAGAACGGATGATGTCTAAGAACAACTAACCAGTTCAGTTCTATGAAGTGTAATCGGTAATTTCACAGGTAGAGTGGAAAGAAATAGACAATTGTGATGCTAAGACCTTAAAGAAAAGAAAAATACCTTGACTTTGTCTGGCCGGACCATACCACCATGAAGCAGAGGGCACTCAAAGAATCTTGTTCCTTTCACCCTGCAGAAGCCAGTATTAATCATATGAATTTGACAACCGAGCTTAGGCATGCTGTACTTATGATATGAAAACCCTTAAAGAGGTTTTATTAGCACAGAAACATATGCTGCAATCGGAATCAAGGTTCCAGAAAGAAGAAAATACTTCTACTTTAGATTGTGAAGGAGTTTAAGCTTTATGACTATAATATAGCATCGATACGAAAGAATTCACATACATTCCATCGTGTTTTCCAAGGGGTTCATCGTACTGAATTCCAACCCAATAGCCAGGACCCAACGATTCTGCTCGTCCAACATATTTGACAACTCCTCTTTTCTCCCCCGGCTCAACTTGACATCTATCTCCCACCTTTAATATTTCACAGCAAGATAACAAAAAAGAAATTAGAAGCATGATACAAAGAGGTCAGGTCTCACAAAATAACAAGACATTGGCTGATTAGCTCTTCAGTTTAAAGTAAAATGTCTAAAATGAAAGGCAAGGAGAAGACTTTATATACAGAAGAACCTGACTAACCTTGATATCTGCACAGAGATCTTCCATGAAGTTCTCCTTTGTCTGTTAAAAGGATTAATTTGGAAGGAGAATCATAAGAACCTTTGTATTCTTGAATGAATTAATCTAATCCCAAATATTTGCCAGTGACTATGGCTTATATTTTTGCCAAAAGTTTGACAAGAAGCAAAATTATAGTTTGGCTTATATTGATACATATTCGTTTTGTCATATACTCATACCTTAGGTTCCGAAGCAACCGGATTTTGAGACACTCTTTTTTCTTTGAATCTCCTAAAGCTGTCTGGAATTTGAACACAATAGCACATCATCAAGGAAATTGCCATTAACATGATAGACAAACTTGACTCTTTCGAGACACAGATTCTAGGTAGTAGAAATGCTACCAGTTCGTTTAGCATAATCCTCTTCTGAGATGGTATACTTCTCAACCAATGACGTATCTTCAAGCCAGCCTCCAGTTGTGACCGACGAGGGGTCAAGATCTATGATGTGTAACCGAAACCTTTTGAAAGCAGCACAAAAGAGCAATCAGATAAACTGATAAAACAAGGAGCCAATTTTCAAAGATACTTTCTCCATTAGATTGGATGCATCTAAGCTCCAATTGTCAATTTGGCTCCAAGCTCCCTAAATCAGTAAACTTTACAATCTGTTAAGTGAACTGATAAAACAAGAGGCCAAATATCAAGATTACAGTAAACAGAGGTATATCAAGTCAAACTGGCTCCAAGTTCTCTAAATAATCGAACTTTGCAATCTGTTCAGTGAACTGATAAAACAAGAAGCCAATTGTCAAAGCTACTTTCTCCATTTGATTGGATGCAACTATCAAGATTACAGTGAACAGAGGCTTATCGAGTCAAATTTGAACCAACTTCTCTAAATCACCAAACTTTGCAATCTGTTAAGCTCTGGAATTGGGACATATACTCATGAAAAGAAAACAGAAGTTACCCATCAAAAGGGGAGAAGAAACCAAGGGGTCTTGTATCATCACTGAGAATTGCAACCTTTGAGCCACTTTCATCATAGAGCTCTAAAGCCATAGCCTCAACAGATGTACCACACTTTTTCCATAGCTTATCTTTCACAGCTTCCACACTCATCTTCAGAACAAAACCCAAACAAAAACAGTTTTTTTAGAAGATAGCCATACATATAAAATCAGTACTAATGTAGTTTGTGTCTTTGAAACGAGACTCACTTGCGGAGAGAAACGAACATCTGCAGCGAAGCTTTTAAGGTTGGAGTGAGTAATGTGTAGAAGTACAGAGTCATCTCCTTCCATCTGTAAACGCGAACCCGCCATAGTTTTTCAACCTCTAGACCTGACAAAACTCTGTTCAGTCACTAATCCCGATCAAATCCGGAATCAGATTCAACTTTTTCGCCGTCGTAACGTAAAACACTGACCTTTTTAGCTGATTGACTTCTCGGAATCGAATCAAATCTCGCCGGATCAGAGGATTTTATTTTCCTTCCAGTGACAATGTAGCAGAGAAACCAGAGGAGATTCTCCGAGAAGCAGAAGAAGTTCAGGCAACCGGCGGGAGGAAAATATTAAAACGGCGACCTTTTTGGTCAGACTCGTTTAGATTTTGCCACGTGTGCTGTCGCACTTAAACTTTATGGACTCTCCCGCTGGTTAGTATAGCCTTTAATCTCTAGCCAAAGGTCCAAAACGCTCGAGGTACGAGAAAAGGTTGAAGATCCGTGAGAGGGAGGAATATTCCGATTCCGGCGATGGATGAAGATTTTTCGGTGGTTGTTTTAGCTTCCGATTTAGGAATTGATGCTCGACCATTCTTAACGAGAACCGATGAGGTCGATGAGCAAGAGAACTGGCACGATTGTCCTCAATACCTCGGAGACGAAGATTTCTCCGATCTCGATCTTCTTCAGTTCTTTACCGTCCAGGGCTTGGATAAGTCCGGTAACCGGATTTTCCGCATCGTCGGAAAGTATTTTCCTGGTAATTACGCTGACACTACTCGCCTTGAAATGGGTCTTAATTATTACAATATTGTGATTTGAAGGGCATGTTTGTGTGGTTTTTCTTATCTTTCCGAGTGTATACAGATGATTTGAACAGTTGATTTGATTCATTTTCTGTTCTCCTTCTCTATTAAGTTTTGATTTGATTCATTTTTGTAATTGATTGTCTGTGTGTGAAAACGCAGCTCGTGTTGTGAGTGCGGAGAGGCTAAAGAAGTATATATTCCAGAAGATATGCAATGAATGTCCCGAGGGACCCTTCTGCTTGGTTTATATGCATAGCACAGTTCAAAAGGACGACAACTCACCGGGCATTACCATTTTAAGATGGATTTATGAGGACCTTCCTTCAGTTATCAAAGATAGACTTCAAGTTGTTTACTTCATCCACCCTGGTCTTCGTTCAAGACTTGTCATTGCCACTCTTGGTCGCCTTCTTCTAAGTGGAGGGTAAGCTTTTCTTTTCATATGCATCACTAGATTAATAAGTAACTTCAAATTTTGCATAATCGAAATTGAACTCTTATCTAGACACCACATGTAAGAATTAGATGTTTCTTTGAACTCTTATTTGTGAAAGTAACTTGAAACAGTTGCGGGATCTGGATTATATTTGAATCAAGAACAGTGGACTTAACTGTTTTTATCAAACAATCTCTTTCTACATTGCAGACTGTACTGGAAGATCAAGTATGTGAGCCGTTTGCAGTACCTCTGGGACGAGATAAAGAAAGGCGAGGTGGAAATTCCTGACTTTGTGAAAAACCACGACAATGTGCTCGAGCATAGACCATTAACGGACTATGGAATCGAACCGGATCCTTTCCAATTAACCGAGGCTCAATCTTCATCATTCTCGCTTAACCGGTACGAGAACAGATGGGTCTCATAGTACACTCTCTCTTCTTAAGCACAAACTCTATAGTAATGCTTGTTGTATAGAGTAAATTAATGTCCTAAAAGCACTCTTGTTTCAATCAAACTTTGTACCAAATCATATATATATGTAATTATTGGGGTTTGCTTACCTCAGAAACAGTGTCTTGTATGAATTATGAATACGGGACTTATGTGGGTTTTTTTTTGCTTTTGCTGCAAAACATGTACATAGACATTCTAAAATCAATTAACGAACAAAAGAAATCTACGGTCTCTTTCAGATGATAGCCCAAAATCTCTTTCTGCAAAATAGAACAGTTTCTATCTTCTTGTATTTGTCTTCCAGCTGATGAGTTTCCACTTCCCAGAGGAATTTAGGAGCCAAGTCTCGGATCCTTGAGATTATTGATTCCTCGTCCCTTATAATGACAAACCCCTGCCAACCCGAAAACCATTAACGCTTCAACCCCGTCATGTATATTATTGATTCAAGAAAAGATGATCTGATATAGAAGTGGCACCATTATTGCAAGAGTAACTGAAGAAGTACCTGTGGGCGAATTATGCGATCCATCTCAAGCATGATATCCTCTAGCAAACAACCATCGCCATGACTTTGGTAGTGAAAGAAGACATGGTCCGAATGCAGCAAATCGTATGTGCGCGGATATGTTGAGAACGGCTCACACCTAAGGACACATTTGTTTTTAGTTAAGTGGTGTTGATGCTTGGCAAGGATTGGAAACAAAACTAAACAGTGTTTGAACATGCTTACCAATCATGGAAAGCGCCATTTAAGCCCCTCTCGAAAATTCCAGACAAGGTATCATTCATGGTAGCGGGTACTATGTTCATTACCCAGACGGGATACGAGTTCATAGCAGCTGCAAACCCACCAATAAATGCATTCATGTCCATCACATTCCTCACTTCAGTCTCATTGACATTCATTAACCGCCAATAATGATTTACTTGTTCTCTCCAGAAGTTTGTGTCTGACGTATACTCATCTTCCCTGATGCCTGAGTTTTCGGTCAAGTGGTTAGGGAATCTAACAGAACATAATGCCATCTCTACAACTAATTGAGCAGAAGAAATGTACCTATTTTTCTTAGAAATGCTGGATACGCAGAAAGACGTTCAGCTAAAGAAGAGTGTCTCTCTTCTGTGTTTCCACTGATTTGCACACAATCTCTAAGCGCAACTTTCCATGATAGTTTCGAGACATCTTCCACATCACACAAACTTATGAGCTTTAGCTCTGCATTCTGCCTAAGGCACTCCTCGTTCTCTTCTTTAATCCATATAGCAGTCTGCACCTGCCGGGAAATGAGCTTCCAACACATTGCGGTAGCTAAATTAGCCAATTTATCCCAAATCATTGGGTACTCTTTATCATTTCTGTATGCTGGTGGTGATGAATACACAAAGTATCCATTGGGTCGGAGAAGACGATGAACTTCTTTAAGCAAGATGCCATCTGCGGAACCAACCCAACAAAAAGCTATCACTCAAAGCAGAAGTCATTTTCTTTAGCCAAATTTTTCGACACAAGAAACATACCATTTGCATGCCAATCAACACGGCATCTCGAACAATGAACCATCTCAAACGAGGCTGCAGGATATGGCATTTGTTTGGTGGCAACAGCGGAAATCATTGCACCGATACCTCTCTCCAATGCAAACTGAATCTGGTTTTCATGACTATCTATTGGAGCAAACGACATCGTCTGTATACCTAAAGGAAGAAGATAAGCCGCAAAGCTAGCAACTCCGCAGCCAACATCAAGAACTTGTACCACACCCGCTGAACGCAAGTCGCCTGTTTCGTTAGTCATCATGTTACCCAACCTGAGAATACACATACAACATCCAGGGCAATGCATCACACATAAGTATTCATTCACACACTATAGACTAAACGCAATGAGAATTGCAGATACCTCTGGATGTATTCTGCAGCTCCATGCTTAAAATGAGTACCACCACCTGGGAACCACCAAAACTGACCATGTTCATGCACCCAACTTTGCCTAACTTGAGCAAGATGTGTATGATTCACATTACTTCTCCATACATAGTCTCTACTAATCGGCCATCTTATAGGTGTCTTATAATCTTTCGGTGGAGGTACTAAGCAAAACAGACGCTGCTCGAGTGGCGGACAATGCCTCTCGAGCTCTTCTCTTCTAGATACGTTCAAGCTCGGAAGCAGCTGATGCACATAAGTGACATTGTGACAAGGGATATACTCATTGAACTCCAATGGACACACATTCATCCCAATTTCAGGTACAACTAACGGTGATCTTCGGTACGTAAGCTCGATTTTGTTTGCAAATTTGAAAGAAGCTGCAGATCCACGAGAATCCAACCACATGCAAAGAAAAGCTTGAATAATGAAGAACAGAGCAAATATAAAACAGAGAGATAGATAGAGAGAGAACGGACCAGACTGAGAAGAAGAAGAAGTTTGAGAGACGTAAAGGGGTTGGTTGTTTCCGAAGAGAGAGCCACTGTAAAATGAACCAACCATTAGAAAGAGAGCAACTATTATCGTCTTCCCCGATCTCGCTGCACCAAATACATAACCTATCATTGTTTTTGTTTATACACTTTTTTTTTTTTGTTTACTTTCGACTTCAACAATTTATCAAGTTAAGACCAGAGCTCAACCTCGGAGAGATGATGTCACTTCCTCTCGGTTACACTAGACGTGTCAATATCTGAAATTAGATTTTATCTCTAATTTTTTCAGACACCAAACACGCAATAC